GTATATTTTTGAATTGAAGGCTACATTTACCATAGTTAGAATCATGATACAAAAAAGAAGGAAGTTTCACAAAATTTGTTTTTTCTTTTTTTTCTTCAAATATATTAACCAAGTGAAATTCACACACGTTAGTAGCTAGAATACAAAAACAAAAAGCATAAGTACTTTATTTGTGCAATCGTAGTTTCTAGAAGTTGAAAACGACAAACATTCAAGGTATTTTGCTGGTGTAATAATAAATTCGTAATGTCAAAACCTATTTCTCATGTATTTTGTTTGTGTAATTTGTTGAAATGGAAGGAAGAAGAAGCAAACATATGATAAATTCGCCTTGATATTAAACATCTGACATAAAAAGATTGTTCGACCTTTGCTTTATTTTTGTGCTACCAATTTCATTTTTTTTTTTTTCAACTTTGTAAAGTTAAAAAAATATATTTCAAAAAATGCAAACCTTTTAAAGTAAACCGAAAAGTAACAAAAAAATTCACAAAAACCTCAAAGGCTTTACATTGTATTTTCAAAAATCTAATGATGCCTTAGCATTTTTATAAAAAAAAATATATGAAATATTTTTAAAGTGGCAATATCTTGAAGTTAAAATGAAAATAAGATATAAAGTCAAAAAATCTTTTTTCTGTCAATTTCATATTGAGTGAAACTAACTTCATTGTTTTGTATCATGGTTAGAATTATCCGATTTATTTTATATACGGGTATGCATCGTTATGTTCGATAACCTTCACCCATTTCGAAGGTAAAATTCTTATACGTCTCTCAAAGAAACCCTTGTCTCTAATTGGAAAAAAAAATTTGGTACAATCGATTTTCATAGGTTTCCCTTGAGGCCAATTTTCACCAGCCAAATCATTCGCCATCTGGTAATCACTTGGTTCGAGATCCGTACAACAAGGTTGATACATAAGAACCTTTCAACCAAGCTATATTGGCTTCTGGTAAATCAGTTTCGATATGTGTGGTCCAACGTTGCCCCGATGAAACACAATTCTTCCATCAAACTGTCCAATTGCTGACAGTACAGGCCTGAATTGAGAACTCGACCGTAAAGTATCAGCTCACAATGGATGATTCCTTATCAATCCGACTAAACATAAAACAAAACCTTTCTGGCTGTCAATCCAGGCTTGGAGAACGTTCGTGTCGGCTTGCTATGCTTCCATTTCGATAGTTTTAGTTCGATGTACCTGCATCATCTACATTTCATCACCGGTCACCAGCCGGTTCCGGAATGAGTGCATTTTGCTACTACTCAGCAGCGATTCGCAGAGCAAAATTCGATTCATGAGATGTTTTCTCGTCAACTCATGTAGCAGACCTTTATACATACATACATCGAACTTCTTTATGTATCCAGACTTTTTCAATTGCTACTGTGGAGCATCTTCTACATCAAAACTATCGGAACAGAAAACGGCGAAACCAAAATTGTGCATAACTGACTGTTACAGTACCACGACAATAAACACGATTCACACTTTCTGCTCCCTGACTTGTATTGTTTATATAAGTATGACAAATTGTTCCGTGTAAGTACGGAGAAAAACTTAATGGCTACAACTCAGCGGTTTAGTGGTTTGTTAGATTCCCAACTGTTATCTTTTTCTTTCTTAATCTCACATATTTACAAATATATATTTATCATCTGATTTATATATTTTCAAAATATTTACTCATATATTCGTTTAGTTCGAAACATTGATGTTTGTCTGTGTGTTAGTATATTATAATTTGTTTAGTTATTATTATGTCATTTCACACTAAATTCGTTTGGCGAAGTGTTAATGACATTGCCACGATGACGGCAACAAAGTAAATGCGATTTAAATATGCACTTTTGTTTTTGCTGAAAAGTATTTATGTAAGTGTAAGAGATGGGAAAGTAGTTGCTGATTTTACACATCTGAACAGCATGCCATAGCAATAGGGCACCAACAAAACTTACTGAGCTTTTGTTCTGAAATTGCGCTCTATGTGAAAGTCAATAAATTTAAAATTGTAAAAAATGTATCTTTTTCAATTTTTCTGACCGGTGTTACTAGTTCTTATTCAACACTGTTGTTATTTTTGTTTTAGTTGTATATAAAAACCAGTGGTGACATTTTTAAATTTTTTTAATGAAATTAATAAATGAAATGAAAAAAATAAAACTATTTCAAAAATTAATAAACTGGTGGCAGTTGACATGCCAAATTTCCATTTCAAAAGTTTATTTTTAATTCAAATTGGCAAAATAAATCAATACAAACGACAACCTCGGAAAAATGCTTAAAATCATTTTAAATGATCGAAAAGTGAAGTTGCGTGAGTTAAATCGTAAAAATAAAAAAAAATATGTTGGCTTTCTATTATGTGAGAAAACTCTATTCTGCTCTGTACAATGTTAGACCCTGTATAAATGCAAGAACCCGAAATTTGTATATAACAATGGATGAAATATGGATCACAGCAATCGTCAACTGGTGCATCTCGTTCAAAGTGTCTGAATTCACAATATTTGCTGGAAATGTTAAGACTTCGCTATTTTCAGATTTTTCCGCTGCGTAAGCCCTTGCATAATTTAGGCTCCAGTTAATTGCTTCCTGCCAATTAAGATTTTTTATATAAGCACCTCTCAAGTGACCAGCGTACGGACATGGCTTAAATTCTTATTGTTTGCAACGTAAATCATTTGAGTAAAGTCCGAAACAGTTATATAATTATTATTTATAAGCATATATTTATGACAACAACTATGTTCATTGCTGCTTCGAATTTTCGGAATGTCTTGATTTTTCTATTTTCTTTGAAAGAAAAATGCTGCTGGAGCTCATCGAACTATGATGGAAGTTTATGGTGAATCCGCTCTGATCCATAAGTCATGCTGAGAGTGATTTTGATGCTCCAAAAGTGGAAGTCTTCTTTCCAGTTTACTTTCCAACCCACAACCTTTGAAGATGATGATTTGAAAGCTTTACTGGATCGAAACCATTAATGCATTTGTGCCATGCTTTGCGTGAAAGTGGCTAGAAATGACCGAAAGGCATGATAAGGTGATTTTGCAAATGGACAACTCTCGGCCCCACGTAGCTGCAATTGCCAAAAACTTCCTGGAAACGCTCAAAAGAGAGATCTTGCCCTAACCGCCATATTCCTCAGATCTCGATTATGATAGCATTCATTTAGATTATTATATTTTATTCAACTAAAAGTCATAAATTAAATGAAACTCTTTTTAATTTGATTTGATTTAATTTGATCAACCTTTATTAGCTGTTTGATCGTTAATTTTGAATAAGTTATTATAGAGAAAATAAAAGTTTAATTTTTGAATTTAATTTCACTTTCATTTCACTACTTTTATATCGGTCCTTATTTACTCAATATGCATATAAGCAGGCGCTAGCGATTGTTGCTGCATTGTCTAACAAACAAAAACTAGTAGGTATATTATAAATTTTGAAAGAAACTCTATGAAAACTTTTTTAGAGGCGGCTTAATTTTCTTTAAGGGCATATGCTTTTCATAACCGTAAGTCTGCCTTTTCTCGAAAAAAAAATAATGGGAAATGTAAAAAGTGAAAGAAAAATCACTTACAAAGTCAAAAAAGTAATTATTTTATGGAGAAAAAAAATCAATTATAAAGCATACGTAGTTTTGAGCATTTTACATAAGTAGACCTCAAGTTTAAAATCACAATTTTCGATTCATGTAAAAAAATCGAATATTTTGAAGTCACCTTTCATCAAATATTCAGACTATTCTTTTTAAAATTACTGCAAAAGTTATGGAAAAAATTTAAATATTTGATGAGAATTAGTTATTAAGAATTTAATATAGGCAAATATACTAACTTAAGTAAAATTAAGAGGTAATCCTCAACACACTAATCATTTGTATAATTTTCAACTACATAATCAACACAAAATAGCAGTAAAAATATATATTGCAATATAAAAAATGCATTAGTGCACCGACAATTGGTCTTCATACTTTTATCGGCGCATAAACATCTAAAGCATATCTCAGTTAATATGTATGTGCACATTTCCTAACGATTACACTCAACAAAATGAAACAATAAACAAGCGGTGGCAGACACATTAAAACATTACAGCTTGCGCTGACTGGCCAAGTTTGCTGCTTAAGTCTTCAGTTTGTCCAGCCAACAAAGTCAATGACGCCCAGTGCGCGCTATTTCTGACGTGCATTTGAGTTGAATTGATGAATTACAACAAAATGCAATAAATAAAGAAACAAACAGCAAAGCAAAAAATAAAAAAAACAATAGCAAAATACAAAAAAAAACTGCTGGCACACACTTCCTATTGCACTGGCGGCGAATCGGAAATGCAGGTAAGCCGCATTTCTATGCTGGAAGTGAATTACAAATTTTAAGCGCAAATGTGCAGAAAAACGAAAGCAATTAAATGCTTAAATTGTAATACAAAAAAAAAAAGATATATATATAAATTTAAAAAGGCGTGCGATATATCGATAAGTGCATGTGAAAATAATGCCTGCTTGCAATGCTTTTGCCGACTTAAGCACATTTCAATTGCAAATTTACACTAGGTGGATGCACAAACCGTGAATAATTATTATTTTTCGTTTTACATTTATTTACTTATTTTTTATTTATTTAATCTTTTTTTAAGTTGATTCGGAGTTTGCATTTTGGCGTAAAATTGGCCGACTCATTAATAAAATTAAGTAGATAATCAGCTGTAGTTACATAAGTAGTCGCTCAAGGTTGTTTCTTGTCATTTATAACAGTAATTTTACTTTTAACGATATTCCTCAGTTGCGAACATAACAATTATTTAAATGCTTTAATTTTTTTTTTTGGAAAATTACGCACACTTTTAGTCACTTATTTCCATAGACAAAAATAGTAAGCATTTTTTATTTTGAGATCGATACATATTTTTTTTTTTTATAAAAAAAGTTCCATTTTTGTTAAATAATTTCTCTATAGCTTTTTAATAAATTAACACATTTACCACTAGACTCCGCTGGATCCGCATGGTTCCCGGGTCCTACAACACAGAATTCACAACTTCAGCGCAAAAACAGATTTTCGTTTGATTCGTTTAAAAGATTTTCGCACCGCTTATGTATGTATGTGTGTTTGTATTTACACCACTTGTAACGGCTAAAATGCCGTGCAGTCCAACTCGTACTCCAGCGTGTGGAGGAAAAAACTGTTTTTATAATTCTTTGACACTCCAGTTAAATACCCCCAACACAAGGTAGCAAAAGCAACGCGCTGTCGCCCCAAATGCAGCGCTGCTGAAACGTTTCAGCGCCGCACCAGAGACCAGAGACCACAGGCAACAAACAAATGTCAAAATCATCATACATGAAAAATCTACATACATACATATGATGAGCATGTGTATGTATGTATGGTCTATAAAAGTGGAAGCATAAACAAAATAAAGAAAGACGGTAGCAAATGCACCTAAAAGCTCAAGAGACACACAAATAAAAGTCATAAAACAACAGCTGTAACTCGTACAAAACAAAATAAAACCGCAAATAAAACGTAGGGTTTGTATGTAGTCAAAGAAATGCAGACGAGGCGAGCGAGCATGCGTTGCGGCACCACTTCGAGCGACGTAGAGCGATAACAAAACATAACATAGCGCGAATGAGCAAAGCACAAAAATGGCAAAAAGTCATTCGCTGTAACACCTCTCCAACCTTGAGTTTCGCTGTTAACGGTTTTGGTTGTGCACCAAGAGCTAAGCGCCATGCGCCCACTGGCAATGACATAATAACTGAAATGAAATTTGAGCAAAGTACGCAAATGAAAACGAAAGTGAACTTATAGAGAGAGAGAGAGTGAGAAAGAAAGAGAGAAAGAGAGTTGAGAGTGATGTTTGTTTTGTTTGGCAAGAGTGTGAGAGTAAGAGAATGAATGTATGTTTAAATGCAAGCTACCGCTCAAAGGTGACTATATGAAAGCTTTTCAAAGCAGTGTTGCCATCCATATACTTCAAATCTATCACAAACTATATTCGGCTTTAAAAAAGGAATCCGATAGTTGGAACCACAGTAAAACCGCAATAGATTACAAAAATGTATGCAAAAACAATCTTGCAAGACTTGGCCTCCTGTGCCTTTTTTGCCCCCAAAGCTGTAGGGCCCTATGAAAGGACGACACTATGCTACTAAACGCAAGTTAGGCAGCTGAAAAAGTGAATGGTGCTTATGGTCTTTACATATCAATGCCGCACAATTTTGGTTTCAACAAGCTCGGACCGGTATTGGTGAAAAATGTTTATAAAATAATGGATATCATCGAGTCTGACTACCATGTCTGCACTGCTTTGATTGTCCAGCGGCTAAATATGGAAAAAAATAGTTTGAAGCCACTTAAAAAAGGCTGGATGCATAAAGAAGCTCGATGTATAAAAATCGACCCATTCTGTAAAGGATAGTGACTGATGATCGAAAAATGGATCACTTATAGCAACGTCAAACGAAAACGTTCGTGGTCAATAAGCAGAGAGCCGGCACAAAAGGTCTTTAAGTATTAGTATCAGTATTAACGTCCAGGAAGGTTTTTTTGTGTGTTTTATGAGATTGGCAAAGAATCATCCACTGTGAGCTGCTTTCTTGCGGCCCAATTTCAAATTCAAATCTGTACTCTCTGACACCGATAGACCACACACATTGACATGACTCGCTAGAAGCTCCGAGAACTTAGTTGGAAGGGTCTTATGGTTCAACCTTAACTACTGTCTAAGGCAAATGATTTGGGCCGTAAGATAACAGACATAAATGAGCCCTAACTCATCATGAAGAAGTTGAAATCAGTTCTACTTCCACATTTGTTAATCGTTGTAGGCCGCAGTAGCCGATTTATTAGCAGCACGTACACACAGATAAAGGCTTATGTATTTGAAAGCTGTTCAGACCAACGACCCTCCCTTTGTAGTTGACTGTCGGACCCGCAAGGAGTATATCTGATTATCTCATAAGGGTGTAATAAAAGAGTTCGCATAAAAATAAAAAATATTACAGCCTTCAACTTTTAAAAGTACCGTTATAACAGCATAACTGCCTAAAAAGCTTAACTGTGTGGCTATACAAGAAACCTTCTTCCTTTCAAGCAACACTTGGAAGGGAAAAGAAAATATTGCCACATGAAAGGAGTTGACGTAAGAGTCCTCGCTTTATCGCTTCTGCTTTCAATCGAGGATTTTATTTATAAAAATTGAAAAGAAGCGACTACAACTCGGCAACCCAACGCCTCAAAGCAGCTCCTCGGTAATATGCATACACGTATGTATATGTATGTTATTATATATAAGCGTTGGTAAGAGAGCGTGATCATATACACTCTCTTTAACTTAACCCTTAAATGGACTGCAAATTTATTAACAGAGTTTTGTAACATTTCCATCACACAATGATCTACTAGTAATTTCGCCTACTCTTTCTCTGGTTTTTTTGTTTTATTTTGTTCCCACTAAAGCTGCAAAATATATTTGGTTTAATTAGTCTTGGTTTCTTTGAATCAACTAGCTTTTTTCTGGTTGGCAGTAAGTTTGTGCAACATTCAAGCTCTCAAAGTTGTGCAATAAAAGAGGTTACATACATACTCTCATATAAATATATGTACATATGTAGCCAGCTATTTCCATGCCTATTGCTGCAATAGCTGGGTGATGAATTCACCGAACGCACAAAAATGGCAATCTGCGAAAATTAAAAATGCATCTGTTTTTGGCGCACATAACTTAGTGTGAATGTATGTGCGTACATACATGTGTATGTGGGCAGTCGAGTGCATAGTTTGCTTTGTTTTTCCCACATTAATCGTCGACAGTTATGATTTATTTGGTTTCATTTTTACTATTTTGGGTTTGGTTTTTTTGTGGCGAGTTTTTTTTTTATTACATTTCTGGGAATTCTCCGTCAATATCAAGAAGGTCGACACGTATTTTGCATTTGCACTTTGCATACATTTTCGGTTTGGCTTAGTAAAAATTTGTAAGCAAAACTTAATTAATCATATTCAATTCCATATTCAATACGACCAAAAAATGTTTAATGAGCTCTTTTGTGCGTTTATTAACGTTACACACAATTTGTATGACAATGACGGCACAATTAATTAACTATAAATTACATTGTTTACTTACACATAAAAATATATATATTATAGCATTTCAATTAAAAAAAATTAACCCTTAGCACGTACATACCCTTTAATTTGGGAATACTGTTTTTATTTTATGTTCGAAAATCGGTTAAGGGCAATGATCGATAACACTATCTACAGCCGCGGCGGTTAAAATAAATAATTTTTGTTGTTTTTGTAAAAATTAAAAAAAAAATGTTGTAAACAACGGAGCTTTTGTGGGTAAAACAAATATTGATTCGAATCTATATACTTTTGTATTTACAATTATTATTATTATTATTATGGACCCAGTTTGCAGTCGATCACTGCTAAGCTTTTAAGAATCACGACTTAGAGTAGTGTTCTGTTGATTTGGTTTGGAAAAAACGACTTTTTCGAATGCACTACAAATGAAGAAAATATTCTAAAAAAATTTAGACGAAATTTGTCGTAGTAAGACACGCTGAGCCGAAAGATACCTACAAGCTGAGCATTATTTTCGAAAGCACGTTCTTACGCTCGGCATGGAAGATACAAAAAAAAATTATCTATCCAACCTATTTGGCTGAAAGTGAAATATGTTATTCTACTCATCAATAACTCTCCCAGGAACAAACTCTCCATTTATTGCCCGGTTTCAACTTCGAAGTCAATTTTTTTTTATTTTTCAACGAAATTATTTACGCCTAGTTCCAACCAGAATGACAAGCTCGCAGAACAAAAATCTTTCAATTCTTCCCAAGTGACGGAATCACCTGAGCCAGGCACCTTCTTTTTCTGACAAAAAAAAATAATAAAAAATGAAAAAATAAATTAAATTAAATAAAATAAAATAAAAATTAATAAAAAATAATAAAATATAATTTTTTTTTTGTATTCCCAAAAGAAGCATTAAAAAGATGTCAAGTTACCAATTTAAAGGTTAACACCATTCTTTTAATAGAAACAAGAACGATAACGTGAAGATTCTCTCGCAGAGTCGGCGTCGTATTCGCGGAGGGAGAGACACTCACTCCTCGAGCACTGACATTCACTCATATACCCGCTTCTGCTCAGCAATGAATACCCGTTAATCACAGTAGGCAGTGAACGAGTTCGCCACACAACTTTCACTCCTGCTTTATGAGATCACCTATTAGTATACATACGAGTACATATAAGGAAATTGAAAAGCCATTTCAAACTTGCTACGTCCGTCGGTATGAGTGATATGAGGAGCTTGAGAATCTGGCCGACAAGAGTTAAGATCGAAATTTCCAATGCCGAAGCAAACTTCTTTAGGAACCAATGAGGTAATCTGGTGACAAAACATACTCAGGCTTATGGGGAAACACTTCTCCAACCTGCTGAATGGTAGCGCATCACTCGGAGATGGTGAACCCGAAATCTCAATCAATGATGATCGAATACCAATTTATCGCATTAGGAATAACAAAGCTGGACTGGTTGGACTATATACGAGTATATATATAATTAGCGCTTATTAGCCGTTGAAGCGATTTTTCAGCTGACCTCCCCTGTAATATTTGGTTTTGCGTCTTGATATTTTCCAACAAATGGAGGGACCTACAGTTTATACTAAGCCGCCTCCTAACGGCTGATGTTTTTTTATGAGGAGCCTGTATTTCAAGTCCGAAATACACTCGGAGGGGTGGACATTCTCTGTCGAGGAGCAAACGTAATTACAAAATTTAACTTGATTTTTTATTTAAATTAATTTTCCATAACTTTTGGATGTTGATGGCATCGGGATACGATCCCGAGCCTTCTGAATGTCAGTATGCAATGCTAACCACTCGTCTACCGCGGCCGCCATACCTGTTAAACCCACCATCGGCCTTATATTCACCATGACTCATCCACGCTACATCACCTTTTCATCAATATTAGAATCGCCTTTATCAGCGCGAAAAGTAGCTACCACGACGAGATTATGTCTTTGGTACCCCCATAAAACTTATATGGTTGTATAAACTGATGATGGCCAAGAAACGGAAAGGACCACATCAAGACGTTCGATACCAAACATGCTGGCTCTATATAATGTCATTTCTTCAAATTTAAGCTGGTG